ATAATGGTCCCTTAGATTTTACAATCTAAGAGTTTTAGAAATACAATACAATTTAGAAATACAGTATTAACTCAAACAATAAACTTCAGATAACATCAATTGCATTTTCATATTATCGCATATAGAAATGATCACTCTCATTACTCTTATTACACTTTTAACTTTTAACATTAACTAATAACGCCACACTTCATAACAACCATTATTATTATTATTGTTATTATTTTATAGAATTGTAGACATAAATCCAATCAGATCTGAATTTACAATCACTAATGATAAACATTTAAAAACATTTTTGTTTTAAATCCAATACTCTTGGCCCTTTAAAAGGAAATATTTTCCACAAATTTATATATTCCCTTAAAAAGACACATGGTGACAATTCCTGCTGTAAATTCTCCTTTTCTTTCCTGCTTCCTTAAAGGAACTAAGAAAAAGTCCCCAGTCCTTTTAGCAGCTTATCAGATAGTCACCCACCTGAGAATCTAGAGTTCCAATAAGTAATTGAACAGCCCAATTTATGTAACAATATCCAATCACAATGAGCTGCAAAATTTTCATTTTCAATTCTTCTACTCAAAACAGAGTCAAACTTCCTCACATTTTTTAAACTCCTTTTCTTTCCTGCCTTTCCTTTCACGTTCAAAACTTGGCCAGAGTTAGAACTTAAAGAGAGAGAGAATTTTCTCTCATCTCTCCCATCCACCCGCTTCTCTGAAGCTACTGTAATTAGGGAGGGAGAGGGGGAGAGAAAGAAAGAAAACATTTTTTCAAGCAATAAATCCAGCCACATTCTTCCTTGGTATCTGGCTGCAAAGGGTGTCAGATTGCTTCTAAACCTGCGATTTTTTTTTTAGAGTAAAGTCTGGCCTGAAACCATATGAAAAGCAATCCAACACAATTTTAAAAGAGGGAGTATGGCAAAAATGAATAGAGGGCCAGCCATGGAGTCAGGAAGAACTTTGTTAAAATCTTATCTCTGACACTGAATAGTTATAACCTAATTATTTAGGCCTTTTTTGTACTAGTGGAGGCACTTGGGGTTAAGTGACTTGCCCAGAGTCACATGGCCAGTCAGTATCTGAGGCCGGGTTTAGGTCTTCATTACTCCAGTCCACTGCACTACCTAGTGCCCCTCCAGCTAATTCTTTAAGATTCCACTTTAAAGACTAGCAGCCTATCTGTGACAGTGGAGAGTGTATTCACACTCAGAATCACATACAGTGAAATCACAAAAAAAGTTATGGTCATAAACATTAATTAGTCTAATACATTGTTGAAAATATAGAATAAGTCATCTTACTGTTTCTGAAGCTTAGCTGTAATGCCATATTGATATCAGAGGTGGTAAAACCTCTGAAGCATTCTATAATTTTCAGTCAGGCATAGTTATACAACCATTTTAACTAACTACATTTGATTTGTCCAAAAGAAAACCATAGAAGGACCAGTTTGTTAATGGTTTTGCCACCACAAAATAGCTAAAGGATTCATTTTGTCAAAATCTTTCACCTAGACAGTTTTTATGAAAAGATATATCCAGAGAGCAAAACATGGAAAGAGTCCAGACCCACAGACCACATTTTCTATTCGGTGGTTATGCTAAGACATAGAAGGAAATTATTAAATTTAAAGGATGCAAAGAGAGTCCTTTCTTCAAACACTCTCATGAAATACGTGCATAAATTCTGCTTAATATATTGATTCAAATTAAGAGCATTTGAGGATTCTAAGAAATGAAGTACAGGTTTCAGATGAGGTTAAATTAGATGCAGGTTGAAGCCTTTTACAAATATATTTTAAGCTTTGGTTTAAACAAATTAGTGTATTTACCAGTCACTTAACTTTAATCTAGTTTGTACCAATTTACTAACTGTTAATGAATGCACTTATTAGGAAACAATAGGCATTGCTAGACAATCTGGGCCATTTGTACAATTAGTAATTGATACAAACCATATGACAGAATGACAGATACTCATCTGTTTAGAATCTTCTGGGATGTAGTAATGCCCGAAGATAGGGATTAGAATAGATTAAAGCAACAGGTTGACAGACAAGACGCTGGGTCTTTAATTACATAATACAAAGTGAGCCCATTTGACAATTACCCAATTTGTTACATCAAATTGCAACAATGAAACTGGAAAATTCGGTCACCAGTGCATAAGCTTGGGGCTTGCCATCCATTTTAATCATCAACAAAAATGAAAGTAACTCAATGGTTCCTTGAACTTTCAGTTTTTCCTTGTGTAGATATAACCAATCAACAAACAAGTATGTATTAAGCTCCAACTCTGCACAGCACTTTGCCTAGGAGCTGAGAACACAAGTGCCAACAAGTGCATATCATATTTATGTACACACACACACATATACAACATAAAGTTAGACACACATATATAGTTAGCTTTATGCTTTATGTTTTTTATATGAATTGTATATGCATACATACACAAAATAGTCATATACAACATAGTTTGGGAGGAAGGGCACTAGAAGTTGGAGTAATCAGAAAGACTTCATTCAGAAGATAGTGCTTGGGCTGCATTTGATAGAAAAAAAAAGGGACTCTGAGGAGGAGGTAAAGGGTGAACTCACTTCAGGCATATGGCACAGCCTGTATAAAGGCACAAAGAAAGGAGATGGAGTGTCTTGAGTGAAGGATAAAAAGACCAATCTCCCTTCCATTTCTGCTATCAGATGATTCCAAGGGCCATGGTTTTTTTTTTTTTTTTTGGTTGTTTGTTTTTGTTTTTGTTTTTTTGCTGGATTTCATTTAAATGATCCTATCTTAATGGGATTTCATCCTATCGTTAGAAAGATACTCAAGGGGTCAACTGTGTCATAATAACAGCATGATGCAACCGTTTTGGCCTTAGGTTAATCAAACAGGAGGCAAGACTGCCTAACACCTAACCTCACTGAGATCCACTATCACCACTCCTCTTCTGCTAACTCTTTTAGCAACACACACACACACACACACACACACACACAATTATGCAGTTTTTGTGTGTGCTTGTAAATAATGAAATTGTTGCAATTAACTGTCTCCTTTGGCAGGAATGCTCCCAGCAGCAACCAGTTCAATAACTTTTCTGCAGAGATTCTTTGGGATAAGGGAGCTTAATGAGAAAGATGGGGAGCAAGGGGAAAAACAGAGCTACAGAGATAATCCAATGCTAAAATGCTTTGTAGAAACCAGGACAGATAAGATTCAGGTTGTCACTGTCTTCTCCAGAGTCTCTAAACCTGTTCTGCCTTGCTTCAATAATCTTTCTAAACAGTCTTCTCTGCTGCTCTCTTTAGTTAAAAAAAATTGCCATAATTGGGCTTGCTCAGGAGTCACTGAATAGTTCAGATCAGAAATAGATCATAAAATGCAATGCTGTGTATATTTATGTAGGTTGAAGCAATGGGTCAGAAAATAGAAGGTATGTACAGATTTAAATTCTGTTACTAAGAATGTGTCCATATGCAGTGGCCTATTGCTAATAGAACAATTTGTGTCCCTCATATAGACATAGACTGAATGCAAGACAAACAAGTCTTAATTCGTGAACTTCATGGCACATCTGTGTCATACTTATCTATCATAATAGGAAAATATGGATTATGGAAGAATTATTTAAGTGTATATATTTCCATTTACAGTAGCCTATTCATAAAACAGTTGGCAGCTTCATATATATGTAAACTGGGTGCAAGGCAAATAAATCTTAGGGGAAAGTCTCATGACACATTTTTATCATAATTGTCTTTCATAAGAAAATTATAGATTATAGAAAATTTTGTTAAAGTTGTAAGCAATCCTAAAATAATTTGACAAGATCATTATATGATTGAAATTTTGCTTATGTATGTCTTTTGACTTGCTGCTTCATAATATAGCTTGTTAGAGACAGAAGAAATTGTAGATCTTATATACTTTAAGCACCCTCACTTTACAATGTGGAATTCAAAGGTCATTTAAGGGGATATGACTTGCTGATCATTGCAGAACTGGGATTTGAACTCAGGTCTTTCAGCTTCAAGTCTAACATGCTGCCCACTATATCATGATACTTCTAAATGGCTAAAAAAATGATCATATCACTGGTGTGTTAGTGTTTGGGTGTCACATGGTACCCAAAGACATCTTCTTCTTCATGCTCATTAGAATAAATAAGAAAATCACTTTTTTTCTGGGTTAAGACCCTATATTGAATTTCCCAAACATCACTTCACTTATTAACTTAAAACAGGAGATTTTATAAGACAATGCATTGAAAATGGTCACTGGGTATCTATTTTAACAGCATCTATGATTGAGATTTTGGCATTTTCCTCTATAAATGCAGAGTGAAGCAGCAGAAAATACTACCATTTTCGCTTATGAATCATTAACATAGTTTAAAAAAAAGCAGGGAACTTCTTTTGTTGTTGTTCAGTCATGTCTGATTCTTTTTAACCCCATTTGGGTTTTCTTGGCGAAGATAATGGAGTGGAATGTCAGGAAGATATAGGAATGTCCTTCCTCTCTCTCTCTCTCTCTCTCTATTATATATGAATGTGTATGTGTGGATTCCTATTTCATTTTTCTCTGTGTAGAAGGATATCAGATTTTGACTTGCTTTATAGTATTTTCAGAGAGGTTTTTTTTTTCCTTTAAACATCTAAGGATGAATTTTAAATATTTGATTTTAGGATCATACATCTAGAGTTGGAAGGTACCTTTAAGGCCATCTAGCCAAACCTTCTTGTTTTATAGATGAGGAAACAGGCTTTTTAAGTGAGCATCTCACTGAACCTAAAGAGTTTAGTGAAGTTGTGCAAGGTCACACAAGTAATAGGTATCAGAGACAGGATGTGAACTTTGTCCTTTGACTCCAGAATCTGTACTGTTTCCAATGTACCGCACTTCCTCTTTGAAAGTGTTCTGTTAATAAGAATTACAGTACAAAAGAATTTGAATAAAATAACCATATCATGTATTTTTTTTTCTCATGATTTAGGAGTTTGAGCTGCCAGCGGATCACTCTGCATAAGAATTTGTTCTTCTCTTTTGTTTGTAATTCTATTGTCACAATCATCTGGCTAACTGCTGTGGCCAACAACCAGGCATTAGTTGCAACCAATCCTGTAAGTAAGATTTGAGTGTTTTATTTATGGGGGAAATTATGTGTGTGTACACACACAGCTAATTGTATACTTACATTTAAATTTGTGTACATTTGAAAAGCTAAGGTACAGAGAATATCTGTATTTACCTTGCAGTATGTTTATTATATGTATGTATGAATGTGTACTTGAAAATAAAGTTGAATATTGAGATAAGTATTTAAAATAGTCAAATGGAAAAAACACCATTATCTCAATTATCTGAATATTTTAATGAGTTAGGTAATTCATTTTACAGGCATAGCTACTACTTTAGATTTGAGAATTATGACGTTATTTTTATATCACATCAAACACCAAAGAGAGCCCGTGAAGTGTATTAGACCGAGGAAGAGCCTCAGAGTCAGGACAACCTGGGTTTAGTTCTAGCCTCTGTGCTATATGACACATTTTTAGAATAAATCAAGCAATTCTCTTAAGTCTACAAGTTACAGATTTGCATTGGTGAATAGACTTTCCATACAAGAAGTTGACTAAAGAAATGAAAATTTTTTTTCCTGGAGTCATGGAGTACATTAGAAGCTCTATCTGCATATTAACAAATTGTCTATGATCTATTTATTTAAAAAAAAAAAACTTAAGCCATTCTTTGACATGTTGATATGATATCCTACTATAGAAAGAAATGTTTATCTCTTCAATATTTTCAGTTTCATATGAGTATAGCCACACTCAATTCTAGAAAAAATGGAACATGTTTATGTTATTTAATTTTGTTATTCTAACAACTTTGTACAGATCAAGTTAATCATCATGATCAACTGATAATTATTAGATATTCTTTTAAAATCCCCTCAATGATGTATCTTTCAAAACATGAAAACAGATATTTAAGTATCAATATGAAATAGGGATAGGGACTTGAATTTTTATTTAATTGGTACAGAAAAGTTGCTTAGAGCACTGAGAGGTTAAATGACTTATCCAAGGTCACATAGCAAGGATAACACATAGTTAGGACTTGAATTCAAATCTTTCTAGTTCTGATCTCAGCTCTCTATCCACTAGATCATAATGCCTCTCAACATTAATATTATTAAATTTAATTTTAAAATATAATATATTTATATGTAACATAGAGCTATAACTGAATCAGTTGTGAAACACTAGGGAATGGGGATTCCATTCTTGTATCTTAGTAGTGAATATGAACCTAGTGACAGACCACACAGCTGTCATCTGAGGATTAATTTAGCTGAGTCTATAGAAGATTGTTACCTATTTGGACACCAAAAAGTTCTGAGACTAGCAATTCATAAAATCTTCCACTAGACAAGTTGGTGATCTGAGTTTATATAGGCTCTGCTCATGAGAATGAAATAATAAATCCTATAACTATATGATAATATAATTAAAATGTTCTATTTTTTCAAATATATACATATATGCATATGTGTGTACTATAATATACATATGTAGTACTTAATATAAGTACCATACTAAGTATTAATATAAGTGCTAAATACTTATGTGGTACTTAGAATAATATTTAATAATATAGTAAATACTCCATGTGTTTTAGTATTAATATATGTGCTATATATGAGTACTATAGTACATAACATACATACATACATAAAAACAATATACTACATAAGAAAGTTAGTGGATTAGTACATGTTACAATCTTGAATCTGGAATTAGAAAATCCTTGATATACATGGAAATAAATATGTAATTTTCAGTTCCTATACACATGTCTAAATTTTAATTAATAAATAAGTATATAACTATTATAATTAATTAATAGATTTTTTTTACACAGGTGAGTTGCAAAATATCCCAGTTTATTCACCTTTATCTGTTGGGATGCAATTATTTTTGGATGCTTTGTGAAGGAATTTATCTACATACACTGATTGTAGTGGCTGTGTTTGCAGAAAAGCAACACCTGCTGTGGTATTATCTTCTTGGCTGGGGTAGGTACCAATGTCCACATATGCACATTTTCCTATTTACATCCCACACTGTGCATTCTTTTGTCAGTATGCTTAACATTATATTTATACATGTATTAGGAAAATTATTCAGATGTGTTTCTCTTGGTTTATAGTGGAAATAAAAACACTTTGACTTAGACACCAAATCATGCAATCTCAATGTTAGAAGGGAACTCAGAGGGCATCTAGTTTTATTGCTATTGTTGTTGTTGGGTTGTTTCAGTCTTGTCTGATTCTTTGTGACTGCCTTAGGGGTTTTCTTGGCAGATACTGGATCTGTTTGCCATTTCTTTCTCCAGATCATTTCACAGATGAGGAAACCGAGGCAAACAAGATTAAGTGATTTGCCCAGTCTGGCTATTACTTTTACTAGCTAATTAGCTATTACTAACTAATATGGCTAGTAAGTATCTGAGGCCAGATTTGAACTTAGGAAGAGAAGTCTTCCTGACTTCAGGCTTGACACTATCCTCTGAGCTACCTAGTTTAAACCATATCAAAATTGTCTCTTGTTACTGTTTTTCTTACACAGTTAGAAAACAGTGGATAATGGACTTTTTTTTTTATCACAATGTGGGTGTATTGGTTTACCTTTGCCAAATTAAAGATTGTTAGTTTGCAGAACCAAGAAACTATTTTTATTTAAAAAAAATGTTTTGTGTTGTATAAAACATTAAAGAGTGCTCATTTTCTTTGGCATTGCAATAAAATAAAAAGAACATTAGTCTATAAATCAGGATACCTGAGTTCTAGTTCCCCTCCTGCTGACTAGTTGGTGAACTTGGACAAGTCACATGACCTTTAGGGGAATGTTTCCATATCTGTAAAATGAGGAAGGAGAAAGCTGGACTAAATAAACTCAAAGGTTCCTCTCCACATAGTAGCTCATGTTAAATGCTTGTTCAGTGGAATCCTAACTCTAATTTCTATTATCTGAGTCAATATATGTTTGTTTTTGGAAATCTTAAGTAATTCTTTGAATGGGAGCAACAAAGTTGAAAAAGAATCGAGGAAAACAAATATGTATTACTCCTAAATTCCTCTTACTCTATATTACTAGAACACAAAAATATAGTGCTGTCATAGTTTAAAAGTAGGAATAATAATTAGAATACTTTACAATATTGATACCACTAATCCTGAGAGAGTTAAATTGCTTTGCGTAACTACCCTACAAAGCATAATATCAGCTTGAATATTATTTGTATAAGATCTTTAGCAACTTTTGTGATTTGAATCATATTCGTTTTAGAGTTATTGTGATAACAAAATGAGATACAGTTTGCAAAGTACTTTGCAAACCTTAAAGTGCTATATAAATGCCAGCTATTATTAAGGGTATCCCCAAAGTCTTACTGCAGTTTTAAAGATTTAATAGTTATTAGGTAAATATAATAATATGTATGCAATTAAATTAGGTAAATAATCTATGCAACCTTAAGCAAACTACTCCAGTGGTGGAAAAGTGAATAAATGAACCAACTATCTGAAATGTATTGCGTTCTTTCTTCAGGCAAATTATATTAGGCAATATTGGTGATACCAACAGTTATACAAGATGTCCCAAAAGTATTAGTGCTGTTTTAAGGATTTAAATATTGTCACATTAAGATAAAATCTATTATTTAAAGAAAAGTTTTTCAACTTCCTTTTGTATTTTGGCTTCCTCCATTAGATTGAAAGCTCCTCGAGGGCAGAGATACTCTCTTTATATTTGCATCTTCAACTCTTAGCATAGTGCCTAGCACATAATGGGTACATAATAAATGATTGTTGTGTGATTGCCTTAGATTTATGATGATATTATAAGCTCCTTGAGGACAGAATTTATGCTTCATAATTCCCTGTATTCCACTCACAACAATAATGAAGGTGCTCAGTACTTCAAAGAGGCATGGAGTGGGGGGAAGCCTCTGCCTCCTTCTAAGGCAGAGCCCAACCACCCAATTCCTATGGGGGACAATTTCAGGAGTTACTGTGGCAGAAATAGTCCCTCATCAGCAACTTTCTTGCCATGAATACTCATGGCAATTTAAGGTTTGCAAAGTACTTAACAAAGTATGTCTCATTTTGTCATTGCAATAACTCTTAGGAAGTTAGAGTAATTATCTTTTTAGATGAAGAATCTGAGGATCAGGTTAAGTGACAATCCCTGATTATTTCTAGTTAAGCATAAATGACAGAATTTTAATCTCTGTTACTCTTGATACCAAGGCCAAGGTTCTTTCCACTACATGATCATTTTACTGTCAAAGCAAAACCACTATTGGACTATAACAGACTATAGTGGATTGTTCTTTTCTTACAACCTCAACAGACTAGGGAGAGGCGTTAGCCTTATCCCTCAAGACCAGCATTACAAGACAGTCTAAACCATACTCTATTTTTTTATTATTTGGAGCAATCTAAATTATTTTGGGTGCCTTGGACATAATGGCAAAATTTGCATTTTGTATTTAAGGCTTCTTGATTTAATGATGGTAAAGTTCATTTTGATTCTTAGTTAAAAATTTAAAAACTACTACATCAAATGAATGGGGTGAGGAGGAAGGCAGAGAAGGTACTGATGGGAGGGCATAATGGAGAAGTCAGTCAGAGAAGTCCCAAAGTAGAGCAGCCAGGTGATGTATGAGATATCTGAGCTGGGCTAAGACACAAGAAAACCACTTCCATAAGACAGTGTGGTAGAAGTATCAAATTATTGACTGGTAAGGACAGCAGACGCTCAACAAATATCATTTGTATTCCTTTAGCACTTTCTGTAATTTAGCCTTGCCTTGAAGAAATATCCACTTAAAAGGTAAATAAAGGTGAAAAGTCATTTCTTTCCTTCTTTTATCTTGACAGGATTCCCACTGATACCTGCCTGTTTACATGCTATTGCAAGAAGTTTATACTACAATGACAAGTAAGGCAATGTTTCTTTCAGATTTTTACTACAGATGTACAAAAATGAATCTTTAGTACTCATTTCTCTGCCTTTTTTCCCCCTAGCTGCTGGATCAGTTCTGATACTCATCTCTTATACATCATTCATGGTCCAATTTGTGCGGCTTTATTGGTATGTTTTTTTTTTAGCATGTCTTATTTTTATTCTCAATTTAATTGACTCAATTGTCTACTCTTTATATCACATTCCTAGATACTTACAGTGTAATATTCTAAAGAAAGCTAGTTCTCCAGTATTTTTATAAAATGATGTTTATATTCAATGAAATTATTCTTTAATTTAGCATTATAGCATTCAATAAGTAAACAACCTTTTAAAAAGCAGTTTCCTAACTGGACATTTATATGTGGGAAAGAAATTTGGTTATATGTTATACTCTTTTTTCATTTTATAAAGTACCTCAAGTTCCTACAGTTCATGTGTAATTAACATTTTATCTAGATATCACAGAAGGAAATGTAATCATAGGTAATAAAAGCATTACTTGTATTCAAAGAGATACAGAGTTTCACATAATGAAAAACATTGAGTATTTAGATAGCAAAATCTGAAAAATCCCTGAAAGATTTCTTCTATAGAGATTTAATAACACTTAACAAGGGGGCATGCGTTAAAATCAATTGCATTTTTTTAAAAAAATTAAGGGAATAACATCATTAATCCATGAGCAAAAAAAAAAGATGCAGCATGATAACCTTCATAACTAAATAATACTATTTCATATTTTACATACTTTTTAATGTTTATAAATCCCTTTTCTCATAACAGCTCTACAAGTTAGAAAGGATAAGAATTACTATCCTGAGTTTACATATGAGAAGTCACAGAGTCACAGAGAGGTTCAGTGACTTGCCCAGGGTCACACATCTAGTCAGTACTGGAGCTAGAATTCAAATCCAAGCCACTGACTCCAAATTCAGTTCTCACTTTCTACTACACCATGATGCCATAATAATCATATAAGTGTAGGTATATACACACATATACATATATACACATGTGTATACACATATAACACATGTGTGGTATGTGCATACATATAGTATACACACATATATATGTATCTCACAAGTAGGCAAAGATGGATAGGGTACTGTATATAAGGGATCTCAGAAGTCGTCTAATCCATCCTCCTAATTTTCCAGATAGAGAAACTGAAGACCAGAGAGGTAAAATGACTTGCTCAAGGTCACAAGGTTGTTATATGTTAAGTCATTCAATTCATACTTATTAAGTACTATTATGTGCACAGTAGATACTGAGCAGAATAAAAAAGAAATCTGAGGCATAGTCCTTGGCTTTTAAGAGCTTGCAAAATAGCTAGAGACACAAGACACACAGTTAACAATGCAATAGGTAAAAATACAAAGTGAAGTATTTGGTTAAAGACTAAAGTCAGTAGTTAAGGTAATTAACATAACTATTAATGCCACTAGCTTTATTGGAGGTTGAAAGATAACTTTCTTCCTCAGTCCCAAATACACACAAACAGCCTTGTTCCAGATAACAAATACACATACAACTGCTCCATCAGGTGTGGGAATTTGGACATGTTACTTAACTCTTCCATGCCTCAGTTTCCTCAACTATAAAAAGGAGAAAATAATAACACCAACTTCACAGGGTTGTTGTGAGAATCAAATGAGACAGTGTGTGTTTGTGTGTGTGTGTGTGTGTGTGTATGTGTATAAAGTACTTTGCAAACCATAAAGCAGTATATAAATTTGATGATGATGATGATGATGTTTACAGAAAAAGACTAATTCTTATTTATCTTTACCAAGGCAATGAAAACAGTCCTCCCCAGCTTGAAGGAAATAATCTTTTGTTACTGTACCTATAGGCTACTCAGTTTATCAGCTTATAAGTCTGCCTTTCCTATGCATCTAACTTTCCTAGGCATGGCTTCTTGACTATTTCCCTAGGATAATTGTTCCATATATATGAAATTTACTTATTTATCCATGATGTACCTGACATTAAAATGGGGAGATTTTCTGATAAGTGAAAGCAAAAAAGTATACTTTGCTTTGTTTACTGAAAAAGGCGTATATACAATAAAGATGAAAGATGATTCATTTTTTTTGTAATTATGTGAGTGAAGATTTCACTGTTCAGGCAGTTAACCTGCCAGTTCAGATTTTTCACACCCCACTGAACATGGCCTGATTTTTCATACCAAAGGAATGCAATATTATACTAATGGGGGAAAATGGACCTGAAAACGTTTTGAAGGACAAGGTGATTTTAAGGAATTCTTTTTGTGGCAGAGAATATTATCACTTAATTATGTTGAGTTTCAAACTCCAAAGTCTATGAAGTAGAGCAGATATAAATTTTGAATAATGAAAAAATATGACAAGGTAATACAATTATGTACAAGTGCTTTTCTGAGACTGTTTTCTTCAAGGGAAGGAAATAATTTAGGAATGTAAAAGGGAAATATGGCAGAAGGGTAATGGGGCTGGAGAGTGGAACTAGGATGGAGGAAAATCTTGATTCAAATTAGGCCTCTGACACATACTGACGATATAATGCCAAGTAAGTCATTCGGTCTCTCAGTATCCCAGGCGACTGGGATATGTAAGACTCCATGTTTCAGAATGGTTGCAGATCTGTATTAGTGGAGGGAATCTCACATGAGAGCTTCTAATACCAGTAAAACAATAGTTTCCTTCAAGTGTAGTTGTGCATCAGGGTGGGGGAAGGTGTTCCTTTAAGTGAAAAAAAAAAGTTCCATCCCATATCCTTGTTATAAGGTTCTGACTGGAGAGGTCAAAAATATATTTTGGTTAGATGAACTGATTTTCACTATGGTAGAAAATTATGTGGGAGCTTCCTTTTTCCTATTCAAAATATAGAAAAGTTTAAAAATGTTATATGAATAATTCATGTTTCAAATACCACATTGCTTTCTACTTTTTGCATGAGAAATTCACCTATCTTACAATATAAAAAATATCACTGTAAAGGTTATTTATTTTCCATCTGTTCCTACTGTTCTGTCAACTTTTATCTTCCACTAGTTTTGTGCTCAAATGTATGTTTATTTCAATGCATTTTTTGATAATTACATTTCCCACTTCTAGTTTCTTCACTTTTTTAAATAGAAATTCTTTTATAGGACAACAGAGTGAATTTACTCGACATCTTTAAATTGATGTTACATAGAGATTGTCAGGGGAACTATTGTCCAATTAAATCTAGCACATTGATGTATAAGTTAGAAGAAAATGCTTATTCTATTTTCAAGATTAGTTTACATAATAAACCTGTCTGTTACCCCTCTCTATAATCCCATATTCTTTTAAAAAATCTTAACTGCAACCCAATAAGATTTTTCCCCCTTCACAGAGTAGCAACAGAAATTACCATATTTCTACCATTGTTTTAATAAAGGACATTAGCTAAGACACTTACATAAAATACTCCATCTTTATTGTTCTACATTTGTTTATTTTTAAGTTGATATGTGAGATCACTTTGTCTTCTATCCTTTATTGGTGGGTAATATTTTCCACTGAGTTAAAAAACAAAGTTAGCTGCAGTATATGTTTAGAGAAGGTAATAAATTGAAAATGGTGAGATAGCAATTCATATAATAATATACTCAATTCTTACAGTTCTCTTAAGGACTCTTTCTACTTTTGTCTTTAGTAGTAATATGCCTTTATTTATAAGCATACGACTTTTCATGATGAAATTTCTACTGAGGCCTATTGTTTATTTGTGCTATCTTAAGTTCCATGGGGATAGAGGGACTATTTTTTATGCCTCTTCTCTTTTCACAGTGTCTTTTTTTAAACTAGCAAATTTCAACGATAAGAAGTGTCATCCTCTCAGTTCCATCTTTTGTAAAATTAGGCATTTGGACTGAATGACCTGTATGATCCTATGAATCTACGCTTGTATAGATTTTTAAAATTTCTGAAGCAGAAATTTATAGTTCTAAAAATATAATAGGACTCACTATACAGTACATATTTAATACTTCAGAAAGTCCATAATTTCATTATTTCATTGGTGTAAGTAATAATTATGGCTATGATTTATATAGTACTTTAAAGTTTAGAAAGCACTTTATATGTTATCTTACATGCTCTATCTTGCAGCCTCTCATTTCTTAATAAATTGTTTATATAAAATTTCTATAAAAAACTATAAAATTTCTGTTTCTTCATAGCAACCTACTGATATCATCAACACAAATATTATTATCCCATTTTTCAGATAAGGATATTGATCAAGATGTTGATCAGCCAATGGTCATATAGACAATGAGTTTATGAGGCAGAATTTAAGCCCAGACTATGTAATGCCAAGTTTAACACTCTGTGCATTATCATTCTATGTCTCATATAGTTTTTCCCCATGTTACATAAAACATTACCACGGTGTTTTCCAAATTACTGTATGGATTTGCATATGCTCATGTGTTTATATATTGTGTTTTTGGATGCAAACAATTGATTGGGCCTTTAATACTGGTATTGGGAATACTTGATCAGTGATTTATGGAAGATGTTAGAAATAATCAAGAGGGAGTTGGATTGGGAGTGAAAATAGAGAAAAGTAAATGAATACAGGAAGAGAGAACCAGAATCTTTTAGTAGGGGAGATGTGGGGCAAATTACATAATGCTAGGAGAAATTGCCTTAATAGCTGCTCATTAGCACTGTTGATTAAACCTTGCTCGATATGTACGAGATGTATTTCTTGTTAAAAGGACTTTTTTGACACCCAGTAAAGTTAGATTTGTATGGTTTGACCCGAATATGCCCCAAGGTTTTGGGTTTCAGATGACTGCAGGATCTACAAGCACACAATAGAAAAGAATCTTAAAATAAAGCATGAAAAATACTGAAATTTAAAAGAAAATCTCCAGATGTTTGCATTCTACCAGAATTTCATGTTCCTTTAAAATCATTCATCCTTTCTTGTTAATGGATTTTTAGTTTATATATTCAGGTCATGGCATGGAACCCTTGGACCCAACACATTCTCATTTATTGGGGCAATAAAGTATGCATAATTTATTAGATCCATGGTCCTCCACATGTAAAATCAGTTTAGTGTGAGCTAAGAAATGATACATGTATGATGCTGTAGGTAACATAACAAAACTTCATTTTTTGCCCTTCTAGGTGAACCTCTTCTTCCTGTTGAACATTGTGCGTGTCCTCATCACCAAATTAAAAGTCACTCACCAAGCAGAGTCAAATTTGTACATGAAAGCAGTAAGAGCAACCCTCATTCTTGTACCACTGCTTGGAATTGAATTTGTACTAATTCCTTGGAGACCAGGAGGACTAATTGCTGAAGAAATATATGACTATATCATGCACATCCTCATGCATTACCAGGTACAAGATCATTGGGGGATTTGTTAGTGTCTCCTTTATATAACAGTTCAGTGTAATTGCTGATCCATACCATGCAGTCTTCATTCATTTTCGGTATTTTGCCTTCTATGAAAACGTATATTTGAGCATGGCCTCTTTTTTCCAATTCTTTTCTTTTCCTCAGCAGTATTGTTGTTATCATTTTGCCCCTTTTTGTTGTGGAATACCATTTCTGCAAAATAGAGAAGAGATCAAACTCACCCTGCCCCTTCCCACATTGTATCCTTGGTTTAGGAGTTCAATGAAAAGATTCCTTATTCACTAGAAACTCTGACAAAATTCTTTGCCACCTAGAAGTCATGTAGAACAGAACTGTGTTGGGAAGGGGGATGAGTATGAGGATACCACCTCATTTTCAAGGGAATGCCTATAGGCTATCTAGACTCCCACAGCCCAAACCATACATAGGCCTATTCAGAACCTTCAACTGGGACTTTCATATGTATCAGATTTCCATAATCTAGTGACACTAAAGGGGAGTAAAACAATAGGAGGAATTACCTCTCCTATATGATTTACCTTAATCTATTCACTACCTAAGTTTAAGAAGAGGCTCATTGATATATGTAAAAATAATCCTGTTTGGGGATTGGAGACTATTCTATAGCTTTCACATTATTTATTTATTTTTGGCAGAAAGAGTAGCAAAGATAGACAGAGCTTTATCTAGCTTATATCACCAGAAGTGGACAGAATTACCTTGGGAAGTCTGCTTTTAAAGCATTTAAAATATTGCCTCACTTTTTGCATGACTGACCGTGTACCTCCAGTGTCCTGAGTTGACCTTGGGTTCTCATAAAATACACCAGGAAAAAACAAGCTCTGGCAGGTTTTTCCTGGGTAGAAATGGATCATGTGCTGTCTCAGGGACTTCACCAACTTTAGAAAGACCTATTCTCAGAAGGTTGGCCAGGAGATTTTGAATTATTTTGACCACAGCAACTTTTGAAGACAATTTATTAAGAAATGAGAGGCTGCAAGATAGAGCATGTAAGATAACATATAAAGTGCTTTCTAAACTTTAAAGTACTATATAAATCATAGCCATAATTATTACTTACACCAATGAAATAATGAAATTATGGACTTTCTGAAGTATTAAATATGTACTGTATAGTGAGTCCTATTATATTTTTAGAACTATAAGCTATTATATATATATATAAGTTCTCTCAATTCCATGTTAAAACATTTTTAACATTTGCGTTTTTTAAAGTTTTGAGTTCCAAATTCTATCCCTTCCCTTTTCTTCCCCTCCCCCCTCCCTGAGATGACAAGCAATCAGAAATACATTATACATGTGCAATTATGTAAAACATTTCCATATTAGTCATTTTGTACAAGAAGACTCAAATAAAAGAAAAATAATGAAAGAAAGAAAGTGAAAAATAGTGTGCTTCAGTCTGTATTTGAACAATATAGTTTCTTTCTCTGGAGGTGGATAGTATGCTTCATCATTAGTCCTTTGGGATTGTCTTGGATCATTGTATTGTTGAGAATAGCTAAGTCATTCACAATTCTTCATCATGCAGTATTGCTGTTACCATATATAATGTTTTCATGGTTCTGTTCGCTTCACTTTGCATCAGTTCATGTAGGTCTTTCCAGTTTTTTTTCTGGAATCATCCTGATTGTCATTTCTTAAAGCACAATAATATTCCATTACAATCATATATCACAGCTTGTTTAGTCATTCCCCAATTGATGGGCATCCCTTCAATTTCCAATTCTTAGCCACTACAAATATTTTTGTACCACCTGCTATATTTCCAATTCAATTTGATTAGGACTTCATTTATGTGTGTGTGTGTGTGTATATAGATAGATAGATAGAAAGATAGATAGATAGATATAGATATATATACACACATACATACACACATATACACATATATACATATATGTATATATACATATATACACATATGTATATATACACATATACATATATCTTACACTAAAAAAATTCCCATTTGTATATTTTAATGTATTATATATTTTGTTTCATAATTCTTTGATTTTATTGTTAATGAAATAAAGTGAACTATTTTTTTTTATTTTACAGGGTCTTTTGGTCTCCACAATTTTCTGCTTTTTTAATGGTGAGGTACAGTATCCACAATTTCTAGTATTCACTTTCATTTTTTTTATATAATGAATACAATCACATATTCCATGAATTTGGATAAATTTGTGTATGTATGTGTATATGTGTGTGTGTGTACCTTTATTTTCACTAACTTTTGGGTCCATAAAGCAAAAAAAAAAAAGATTAAGAACCTATACTTTAAAAAATTAATTGGGCAGCACAAATATAAATTCTGAAACAGCAAACATTTCAATTAAATGAGAAATCATTACCATTTATTTTGAACCACTTTCCTGTCAGTCAAAAATTTTAGAGGAAGCATCATGTTGTTTTAAAGAAATGAAGAAAAAAGTGTTCTTGCAAAAAAAAGTGAAGGACCTTACACTGGGATAGCCAAGAGATCTAGAAGCACATAAATGACTTATTTGCTTGCCTTCCCCTGAAAACAAACCACTTGAGTCATACCACAAGAGAGACCACCTTCTCCTAGACATGAGAGAGAAGAGGACAGGAACTAGGTGTTGTTTTCATTCTAGTCTAAAAGAAATACACAGGGAAAGTTGCGTATGCTATTTACATAGTTGCAACTATCCTTATGCTTCTCTACTTATAGCAAGAGTAGATATGCTAGCAACATGGATGTTGATGGTCCAGAAAGGCACAGGCAAATTCCAATTTTTGAGACCCCTAGCCACATAGAAAAAAAAATCAGCAAATATTTATTATGTGTCTAGTACTATTCTAGGTGCTGGAGATACAAAGATAAAAAATGGTGGGAGGAATCTCTTCTCTCACAGGGGGAGGTGATATGTATAAATATGTATGTCTGTAAAATATATAATAAATAATTGTGTAAAAAGAGGCTATTAGCTGAGGGAATGAGGAAAGACACCACATAGTAATTGCCACAAGCAAGGCTGCAAAGACAAGAGACAAAGGGGAGGAGGGAGTAGATGCCAAATATAGGACATAGCCGATGCGAAGGGACAGAATTGGGATATGGAATGTTGTGAGGAACATCAAGAAGATCAGTTTGGGTGGACAGTAGATTGTGTGGAGAGAAATCATATAAAATGAACCTGGAAAGATAAATTGTGTCTAGATTATGAAAAGCTATGTATTCCAAACAAGAGAGTCTGTATTTCATCCTAGACTGAATGGGGAGCAACTGGAATTTATTGAGTAGTAAAAAGACAACACACACTTTACATACACACACATACATGTAACCCTCATATACACACATAAAACACACATATACCTATATACATACAACATAACCCACCATATACACATGTGTATGCATATGTGACTTGTATACATATGGGGCTATGTTATATGTATATACATATGAAAATTATGCTGTATGTGTTTTATATATGTATATGTGTATATATATATATATGAAGGTTATATACTTATGTGTCAGGGTTGTGATTCATACGCATGTGTGTGCATGTGTTTATTATGTATGTACTTTCTTTTGAAGGTTAAAAGAGCGCAAAAGGGACATAAGAGCTGTCAAACTTAATACTCTCCTGATACATCACATCAGATCAATTGGCTCTATGTAGTTTCTTATATGCAGAGGCAGCAGAGTAGTCAAAACCCATAAGTCTGAGTAGTAAATGAGAAGGGCAGACACAGAATATGATTGGGAAGAACAGGAGTTATTCTTCATTTTTTAACAAAGTTGAAATCGTGTTTATTAAATATTCATAGGAGCTGTTGAAAGTAAAGGTAACAAGGGTACTGGATTGTCAGAGATCATGACTGAAGATAATCAGACAGATTAGAAAGCTCATATATAACATGTAAAAATACACAAAACCAAGAAATCCAAATAAACAATACTACCAGGATGCAAACATTTATTTCTTGTGTTTTTATATAATGAAATATTAGAGATATAGTTGTGTGACCATCACCTTTTTAGTCTAGGTAGTCTTTTCATTTTGTCCAAAACACAATCAACACAATTGCTGGTAAAATAAAATGTTTGTAGGCTATATATATGATACCACCAATCATTATATCTACTCACACATTAGAAAATATTTTTGAATGTTGATGACTACAAATACCAAATTGCTTCATTTTGTGTCTAATACCAAGGAATATATTAAAGATAAATATATTAACACAACCTCACCCAAATCCTCTAAGGCTTTACCTATATACAAAAAAAGAAAGAAAACAAAAATTCAATGACGTTCCAGCATGTCCTAAATAAATTTAGCCATTGGAAATTCCAATACCACATGAATCTTTGAGCGAAGCTGCTGGCACAACCTTCAATTCTTCACATCTCACAAATCTGTCCCCTTAATCTCCACAGATAAAAATCCACATTTGTGCATGAGTCACTCCTAATCTTGATGACCTCTTTGCTTCTTAGCTTTCTCCTGTAACATGAAGGCATAACTGCCAAATTCATTTTCTGCTGTTATGATCGTGTCATTCCTCCACATTAAAAAAACCCTTGTTTGGTCCCTTTTGCTTTCCATCTTAGAGTCTGCTTAGAGTTAGCTCAATAGCTCTTTACCTTTTATAAACTTCCTTCTTCCTATCTATTTATCTATCTATCTACCTATCTATCTACCTACCTATCTATCTCATAGGTAAGCTCTTCTCCATCTCTCTTTCCTTCCTCCTTTCCTTTTCTTCTCCTTCTCCCTCCCCTATTCTCTCTCCCATACCTGTAATTTCATTCTACTGAGTAAATTCCCTGTACCACTGTACCAAAGTAAGTCAGCAACTTAGATTTTTACAGAATTAGCAGAGGGCACTGAAATGTTAAATTACTTGCCAAAAGTAATTAAAATCAAATAGGAACTATGTTTTAATCTGGTTCAGGATGTATTCCCTTGTTTAACATCTTTGCTCTAAATATTTCCAATTTAGATTGATTTTTCTTCCTGAGGTCAACTCTATAACATCTATCTGATATATTTCTGAAAAATCAATCAACAAGCAAGTATTAAACATCTGCTATATGCCATTTAATGTTAGGGCAATAGGAATACAATGACAAAAAATGAAATGGTCCTAGCCTTCAAGAATTTGCATTCTGTTAAGAAAAAAGCAAAAACAAAAGGCAAACATGCAAACATATAAGGTGATTCATAAATACAGTATATAATTCTGCTTACTTTGAACTTATATCAAAGTTCTCAAAAGTTGTTCCTAGGTGCCAATAAAAAACAAATACAAAGAAATGAAGATAGAAACAAGCAGTCCAATAAAGTTGCTTTTATTCATTCAGAGAAATGGCAAAAAATAATTGTTGAATTGTTGAAATATCTGAATAATTCTTCCAATGTACACTGGACTTAATATGGGATATTTTAAATGAATAAATAAAATACCTTATATGTTTAGACTAAAGCACTAAGAGACACTGTATTTGGTCTTTGCTTGCCAAATTTCCAGCTTTAATTTTTAAATTATGTTTAATTTCAATATTTAATTTGGAGAATATTTTCTGGTAATATGTACAAGAATACATTTCCAAACAAAGAAGAACAATATTCTCATGGTGAGAGAATTTACCGCAGAGTCAAGAGGATATGATTTCAAGTACCACCCCTGCTACACACTGGTTGTAAAGCCTAAAACAAATCATTCATCTTCTTGGTACAGACAGGAAATTCTCAGACTAAATGCTGCAGACCAGTTCCTGATATTCATTTGTAAGCATTTCCTCAGTTGGAATTCCCTACACCTCTGAAATCAGAGTTCTGGCTCCCATGATATTATAGTGAATGTTGCAAAAATATTGAATCAATATGTGAATCATTCTTTAGATGTCATGCCTATCACAGCAATTTTAAATGGAAATAAATTATTTTATTCTGAAGTCATAATAGTTTCCTAGCACTTATTTTTATCATTTGGCTCCATAGTAATCAGGATAAAAGTATGAAGCTATTAAATTTTGTAATAAAACTTTCAGAACAATGATAATCATACATTTAACCACCTAGTTTTTTTTCTAATAAGGCTTCAACCATTTGAATATTTAAAATCATCTTTATAATTTTTTTTCACATAGGTGCTTGACAGCCCATAGTGCTATGTCTAAAGTAGATGCCAACATATACTTGTTTACATGTTGAAAAATAAAAGTTAAAAGGACTGTCTAAATAGTTATTACATATATTTCCAGTGCAAGTCTACCAGCAACATCATGTGTAATAAGCAAAAAGGAACAACTCCATTTGAATACTCTTATGATGATTTCACCAGCTCCTATAGTTCTAATTATCATCTCTTTCGCAGGACTCCCAGTTCTACATATACAACCAGTTATCCCTCCTGATTTCCAGTTTCATATCACTTTGTGGGTCTATCTTTTGAGAATTTCCAACTGAATGTTTCCATAGACATCTCAGTTTTGATGTGTCCAAAAGAGGGGGTCATCATCTTTTCCCCAAACCTATCCTTCTTCTGAACTTCCCTATTACTGTTGAGGGGAACTACCATTTTTCCAGTCACCCATGTTTACAATTTCAGATTCATCCTCTGATTTTTACTTTTGCTCACTGTCCCTCCTCCTATTTCTAATCACTTACCAAGTCTTTTCAGTTCTTATCCTCCAAAACATCCTTATCATCTTTCCCTTTCTCTCTGCTCTCACAGACACCACTCTATCTCTGGCCTCACCATCTGGACTATTACAACAGGCATCTAATGATCTTCCTTCCTCACATCTCTCCCCTCTCAGAATCATCTTCCACACAGCTGCCAAAGAGATGTTCCTAGAAGTCTGGCATGCCCCTGCTCAAAAAGCTTAAGTGAATCCATATTCACTTATTTTCCATATTATTTCATATTAGGATAAAATATGTCTCTCTATTTGGAACTTAATACCCCTCTATAATTTGGCACCACCAACCTTTCCAGTGTTATTACCCATTACTTTCTCTAGCCTAGCTAAATTGCCCTGCTTGTTCTTCTTCTCACAGAACCTTTCAAATCCTATCTTTGTAAAGACATCCCTTGAATGTCTTCCCATGCTTGGAATACACTCCCATCTCACTTCTATCTCTTAGAATACACCTATGTTCTTTAAAAAAATCCCTCAGATCAAGTTCTAGTTACTGCATGAAGTTTTTCTTAATTTTCTGAGTACAAGTGTTCCACCAAAAGAAGTTAACCTTCTTACTTTTAAAAATAATTATAAACTGTATTCTCCCAGAAGGTAACAGACATTTATTAAGTACGTAGAATACACCAGGTTTTCTGCTAAGCTCTTTACCAAACATATATGTCATTCTTCCCCTGATTAAATGTGAGCTCCTTTAGGGCACAAACTGTTTTGTTTTTTGTATTTGTATCTCCAGTACCTAGCAGATAATAAGCATTTAGTAAATATTTTTGCATTGATTTTACAAAAATTAGATTATATTCTGAATGCAGTGCACTTCAACACATAATGCTCAATGTGTTACCTTTAAAAATAAAAAGAATATCCATCAACAATATCATAATCCTTTCTTTATTTTTCTTTCCTCCTCCTTTGTCTGAATGTTTAGGTTCAAGCAGTTTTGAGAAGACATTGGAATCAATATAGAATTCAATTTGGGAGCAGCTTTTCCAATTCAGATGCCCTTCGCACAGCTTCTTATACCGTGTCTTCTATCAGTGATGTTCATGGCTACACTAATGAGCTTGGTAGTGAACAGTTAAATGGAAAAAGCTTCCATGACATGGAAAATGTGGTTCTGAAAACAGAAAATTTCTATGCTTGATTACAGAGGAATTACAAACTTTATTACCAATTTTGCACCCTTATTACTGAAGGAATTATATTCATGACTCTATGGCCAGAAGATTTCTAGCTAACATGGACTTGTTTCTCTTGAGTGCCACAAAAATAGCCCATAAGTACATTAGCATATGTTGGTAAGAGTACATACATGCACATTAAGCTTGAGTCTACCCTTCAGGTCTGGGAGACTGTTCACCATGTATATATCCTCCCTGTCACGGAGGGCAGAAGAGCGTCTCTGGTGCATCAGTTTGATGCATCAGCAAATAGTCTGATCCCTTCCTACAACTGCACAGTGGTCAGAAGAGGAGCTAGTACTTACGCTGCCAGTTGCTCCCATCCCCAGAAAAATCAACAGAGCAGAACTGCTATGCTCACTTGCTGACTCACCTTAGCCCCACTCTGGACCATGTTCCCTTGAGATGGCATGTTATGCACAGGACTGGCAATGTGCACAGGACGGGGCTGCAGAGCATTTATTGCAGCAAGCAGAGTATGTGACTTAATTGTAGACCCTTTTTCCTCTCTCACAAACTAGGTGGAGTGAGTCCGGTCAATAGAAAGTATATGTAAACAGAAACTTTTACTCTTGAGTTTCTACTATGTAGACAGTCATCAGCTCATTCTGTATGGTGAACTTTGATGAAGGATTTCTTAATTTCTGTGGAGTCTATATAAAGCCTTTGTTGTGAAAGTGATGTCATATTTTCAAGAACCTAGCTTGTAAATAATTTTAATGCATTTTTGTCCATAAACTTAGATAGCTTGATGGTATATGCAGGTTAATTTTTAATGCAAGAAGTGCCATGGCTGATTATGCTAAAAAATAAGAGTCTGGAGTACCTATACTAGGCCAACTCATTTAGGAATATCATAGAAACACAACTAGATGCCAGCATCAGAATTTTGATGATGAGGGAAAGAAAAAAATTTATAGTGTAAAATAAAAATATTCTTCACAAAGCAAAACTCCAATCAAGTGGAAAACCTTAGAATGAGGTTGGCATATTTGGGGGGCATTTTCTTTTAAAAGTTATGCCTAAGTAATGAGTGTTCTATATATGTTTATTCTATTTTAATTACAAATTAATATCTTAACCCTGAAAAGTGACAGAAAAAATGAATAATTTTAGGTCTGTTAAATACTGTCTTGCTAAGATATTTTATACATTTATGAATTTCATATTCATGGACCACGGCATTCTAGTGAATTTGGTTATGCTGAAAAAATAATACAAAATTTTAAAAAGTATTCCATCTAAAGAAATGAATAATACAATTTGTGTATCGTTTCAAATGCTTTGTTTTCTGAACAAAAAGAATATTTTGAATATAATTTGAGTTAAAGTACAACAAATAAAAAAAGTATATATTAGTAGGGAACTACAGTTCACAGAAAACCTACTAGAGTATTAAGATGAAGTGAAAGACTTACCCCAAAACTGATATACCTCCTGTGTAACAGAACATTGGCTTCACTAAAGCAAACTCCTGGTTGATCATCAGAGGAATCAAAATATGTCTTCTTCAGAACACTTTACTGGTAAATGGATATTTGAACGAGAATTATTTGGTGTGATTGAGAAGTATACACAGTTGTTAAAATGTAATAGCATATGACTAATTATTTGGCTATTATGGTGCTTACCAGTATTCATAATTTCTTAGTCTTCAGTTGTTTCTGAATACAGAAGGGTTTTTGTTACAATTATTATTGTTGTTGTTTTTAAATGCTCTAGGAAAATTTTCTGGTCAGTGAAAATGAAACAAGTTAGATAAATGAACTGGCTAGTAAATGTATGAATTATAAATTATCCAGATGTTGTGACTATGCTAATACCAAGTTGCATGGAATTGACAGTAGATATCAGATAAATAATGATAGGCTGTTCTGACCTTCCAACTGGTTAAAGCACATTAAAATGGTTTTCTGTTTTTGTTTAACTCATTTGTGTTCAAAGCCTTTTCTACAGAAGCAGATTCAAATTCTGGAACTGCCATGCTCATTTGTAAAAATATATTTTAATGTCAGATCTATTTATGTGTACTACCTAGCTATCCTGCCATAACAGATCTTTAAATGACTACAGAAAATGTTCTATTTTCAAAGAGTATTCTATTCTAAATACAGCATTATGAGAGCATTCTATTAATTATTGATCTTTTATCAGTATCCTTAGATCAGAATCTCATGCTGATTCACTTTTTGGCCAGTTTTTTTTTCCTTTTATAAACATTTTTGCATCATTTTCATGTGTAATCAAGCCACTGAAGTTAGTTTATTTTTGTGCACTTATCTTCTTAGATGTTATGTTTCTAAATGTTAGATTTCTGTTCTGGCGTTTAAGAACTTCATATCTTATTCAATTAGAATTGTATGATGAAAGGTAAAACAAGGCTTTTATTTTTTATTTCCTCCCTCCCAAAAAAAATCCCGCAAAAAATGAAAAAGTTTTTGTATCTATGCAGTACATATTCAAATCATATATATGTTTATAATATATATATATATGATATGGATAAGGCACTGCTATTTTTACACTACTATCTAGTAAATATTACAAAAGATAATCCCTTCCCCCCAAATTAATGATGTGGATTTTCTTTTTAAGAATTAATTTACTAGTATTTTATTTCATTAAATATTTGTGCTGGACCTTAGCATTCATTCAAATACAAACTATGTACATAGAATTAATAGTAGTTATAGCATTGTATTTATTGCTTCAAATAATGAAAATGTGAACTTTTTTTTTCTATTTTCACCATCCTTTAAAAATCATTATTTCTTTCAACCATTAAGAAAGAGTTGAGGTATTCTGAACAATAAAAATTTTTAAAAATATTTTATGCTTATTTAAGATTTTGTTGGGTACTCAAAACATTTCGAAGTCAGAGCTATGTTTTGATCAGATATTCAGATAGTGATAAACATACTTATTCAGTTTGTGATTTATTTCCTTTTTGTCCATGTAAAGTTTCCCATGATTCAAAGCCAAATCTATTACTTGATTTTTATAGAATCTCCGTACAGTCTCTCATTTTAAAAGAAATCAAACTAAAACATCAAACTCAATCTAACAAGCATTTAAGATTCTATGTGAAAAGTATTGATGGGTAGCTTGGCCTTGAATATTGGCAATGGGCAGGTGAGTCACTTAAATTCCCACTGTGCCAGGCAACTAAAACTACTATATAAATTGCAGAAAAGTTTTATATCTTCATTGGTAGAGGAAATTTCCTTACCAGGAGTTACCTACAGCAATGAATTTGTCTTTGAATGAAAAAAATAAAGTATGAAACATTGTCCTAGGCACTAAAGGAACAAAGACAAAAAAGAAATCCTGAGTGATATATGTGTGTATATGCGTGTGTGTGTGTGTGTGTGTAAAATATATACAATATAAATATAAGCATAAATTCCCTTGTAAAATTTGAAAACACTAACATAACATATACAAAGAAGGTTAATTTAAAGGACTAGAGAGAGAGAGATAGAAAATAGGAGAATGGAAAGAGGGAGAAAGAGGAAGAAAGGAAATGGAGAAGTTCCTTTGAGAACATGGGAAGACATATCTGGAAGCAGGCTATGCAGAGAAAATATGATAGTTATAACATAAACCAAAAGCGTTTGGACAGCATTTTTTTCCAGGTATTTTAAAGGTTTTAAAAGTCTCTTACTATATTCCAAATTTTGATCATCTTCAGCATGGATACATTTGGTAAATATTGGTAGAGTACAAAAGTGAGTTAAAATATTTAATTCTGTGACTCATGGATACGATGATTCAGATTATCTTTCTCATTTTAACAGGGAAGATACATAACAAGGGGTGTTATCTTTTATCCCAACACCAACAATAAAGTAAAAGTTGACATAGTATCAGAGATATATAAACCTGGAAGGAACCTCTGAGGTCAGCTCCCCCAATTCCCTCATTTTGTTATTGTTGTTCAGCCATGTCTGATTCTTTGTGACCCCATTTGGGTTTTTTTGTTGTTTTTGGCAAGGATGTTGGAGTGGCTTGCCGTTTCCTTCTCAAGCTCATTTTATACATGAGGAACTGAGGTAAATGGGGTTAAGTGACTTGCCCAGGATCACACAGCTAGTAAGTGTCTGAGATCAAATTTGAACCCAGGAAGATGAGTCTTCCTGATTCCAGGCCCAACACTCTATCCACTGAGCCATCTAGTTGCCCCATTTTACAAGTAAGTATACTGAAGTCCAGAAGGGTCCATTTATTTGCCTAAGGCCGCAGAGTTAGTCAAGATCAGATAGGATTTTCTCCTAGGTTCTATGATTTCAGTGCCATGACTCTTCCTTATTTTACTGTGCCAATGTCCCTCCGGAAAGTTTATACCTATTAATTTCACAAATCCTTTAGTTTCTGTTAAAGAGATCTAATATTTTAGGACAAATTTCCATTTAAGGATTTCTATGCAGCTAAATTATTATCTCCAGAGTAACTTGGTATTGTATTGTTCTGTTATTTCTATATTCATTAGAGTGAAATCAAATCAAGAGATGTCTTCATTCTCATGTTATGTGTTAAAGAGAATTTTTTTCAGTTCGGTTTCAATAGTCTATATTTGCCATCAATAATATTTCTTTTATACAACAGATCCTAAGAAACTTCTGAAAAAACTTGACTCCTTTCTAAGATATTTGCAATTATTATATAGATAGAGACTTAATCACCAAAACCACAGCTATAAACTTCTATAAAATCTAAACCACTGACTAAAAATGAAAACAACCAAAAAGGTCTAACATAAGAATATAGGCTGTTATTTTCCCGATTTGCCTAAAATAAACTCTGAACATAGCTCATAATCTTACTCATAAGGTCACTGCTTAATCCTTCCTGGTCTCTTCAGAAGCAGTATCCCCCACTCTCCTTCACATACACTGAAGGATCCATAGCTTAATGACCCTGCTTCTGATTCTACAAAATAATAACTATCCCCTTGCATCACTGACCCTGTGAAACCCATCAGTTCTCTGTGCCTCCCTCTCTTGCACATCCAGTTCTAGATAGAGATATTCAAGGTAGCTGGTGGGAGGATATCCCTCAGAGTTTCCCCTTTCCAAAGAGTCTGCATTTTTTTTTAAATCAGGCTTTAGACTCTACATACCACTTATACATAGATAACTGCATTTGAAACTTCCCACCAAGTTAACATTAATGCAATAATAATTATTCTTTGGTTCCAGTCATTCAACCATCCTGAATTAACCTGTGAGGACCGGCCTATTGCTAGGCCATAGATGACAAAAATGACTCCATGTTTGACCCACCTATTTACTGAGAATTTCCTGTGTATCCAACAACCAGCTTGGTCAGCTACATTTACAATTATTAACACAAAGTTAGCAAACTATCAGTTAAGCAAATTTCTAATCCAGATATGCAAGGTTAACAAATTTTCTTAATCATAATGTCTTTGTGGTTGATAATGGCAGGGCTGGGAGGAGGGGTGGTGGGGTTGGAATCTATAGACTAGCCCACCCACTGATTGGTGGCTCCTAAGATCCCTCCCCCACTCAGTCCCTATTAATCTGCCCAGCAACAACAAATATAAGGGCAGAAATACAGTAGATCTGTCAGCCGGATTGGCGTACATATCCCAACCATGCTTGAGCTGCATACTTGCATACTTGTGAATAATAAACTGCCTGACTTGATCTTTTGAGTACTTGTGTTCCTATTTCTTACTTCTCCACAAACTCTCTACTAACTTTATTGTCATACATCCAAAATCTCTCTGACTGGTTCCAAGGGTGGCATGAGAGATTTTGTTTAATGTTTTGCCAAAATTTAGGTATACCTTTGGGATAGGAATTGGACCTGTGAATTCATTGATATAGAGTATTATAGGATGAGGAAACTTATCAATGCAGGTTGGCACCCTCTCTGCAACTTACAGTGTTAAGAGAGTTGTGTAGAACACTGAGAAATTAAGGTATATGTTCATGGTCTTATAAACTAGTATGCCCCGATAGTGGATCTTGAATATAGGTTTTCCTGGCTCTGTGGCCAGATCTCTATCCTTTATATTATGCTTTTGTTTTTATTTTTTTCCTCTCCTGGACCTCCTCCAAGTATCTCTCAGACACTTCTATTGTAGCTCCCTAAATGATAAGATATGAATTCACTCTTCTACCCTATTCTACATCTCAAAACCTTTTGAAATCTTCCCTCATTCTCTCCACTCCAATGCAGATTAATGTTGCCCAGCTCCAGACCAAGATTATCCTTTTCCATCCCTGCAGGCAGATTTTCCCCATTATCCTTCCTTCTGTCATCTTTAATATCTTAATCTACTAACTCATTCAACTAAACTTATATAAACATATCTAAATTGTTCCCATCCTTAACCCTCACTTAACCCTACCATCCTATATCTCTATTCATTTTCAAAACTTGGGGGGGGGGGGGTTGAAGGAGTGAACACTCATTGCCTGTACTTCATCTCTTTCATTTCTCAACCACTTTCATTCTGACTTCTGAACTCATGTCTCGACTGAATCTTATGTCTTCATCACCAAATACAATAAACTCTTCTCAATTCTTATCCATCTTGACCTCTGTGAAGTATTTGACATTTTTTTTTACCACCACGTCTTACTGAATACTCTTTCCTCTTTGGTTTTGTTTTTCTTTCCTATCTGCCTGAATGCTTCAATTTCCGCATGCATATTTCACCTCTCACTTTTGATGTGCCCAAGGCTCTGTCCTGGGTTATCTTCTTTCTATGAATCTCTAATAACCTCTTCAGCTTCCACGGATTAAACTACCACCTTTGTGAAGATGATTCACAGATCTATATAAGAGCCCTAGTCTCTCCTGAGATTCAGTCCAAACCAACCACATTGCTGTTGACATTTCCAACTCAATGCCCCCTAGGGATCTCAAATGCAACATGTCAAAAACAAAAAACAA